CTCCTCCTCCCTACCCCCTTTCAGGACCATCTGCGGCACCCCCAACTATGTGGCTCCAGAAGTACTGCTGAGACAGGGCCATGGCCCCGAGGCAGACGTGTGGTCACTGGGCTGTGTCATGTGAGTCCCTGACAAGGACTGAGGTAGACAAGTGGGTGTCGGGGTGAGGGGAAGGTGTGTACCCTCTATTTTACTCATGACTTCTTTCTTCTGGCCCCACAGGTACACCTTGTTGTGTGGGAGTCCCCCCTTCGAGACAGCTGACCTGAAGGAGACTTACCGCTGCATCAAGCAAGTTCACTATACTTTGCCTGCTAGTCTTTCACTGCATGCCCGGCAACTCTTGGCCACCATCCTCCGAGCCTCACCCCAAGACCGCCCCTCCATTGACCAGATTCTGCACCATGACTTCTTTACCAAGGTCCGTGGTTCACCAGCCACCAAAATCTCATCTGCCTTTGCTGGGGAGGAGGGCGATAAAAGGAGGCAGGTGAAATGACCTCCGGGGAGCCCTTCTCTGCTCATGTGGCTCCCTTCCCTAGGGCTACACCCCTGACCGGCTTCCTGTCAGTAGCTGCATGACAATTCCAGACCTGACACCTCCCAACCCGGCTAGGAGTCTCTTTGCCAAAGTTACCAAGAGCCTTTTTGGCAGGAAGAAGAAGAGTGAGTCTGGTGTGTCGTTTGGGGGCTGTTGCACATTTGTACAGGCATTTGGGTATTTTTGTCCCTGTGTTGTTCCTGTGGGAAACAGGGAGGCTGATCAGGGCAGGATCCTGAGGACAATAACCTCCCAAACTCCTATTTTCCTCAAGGTAAGAACCATTCCGAGGTGCGGGATGAGGTCTCCTGTTTGGTGAGCAGTCTCATACGGACATCCCTTGGCCATCAGGATCCTAGGCCCGAGGTGAGGTGCTCATGTGGACAGTGTCCCTTGACTCACCCTGCTCTGGTAGCTGCGGGAAGCTTGGGATAAAAGGCTGCTGAAGCATCCAGCCTCATGGTGGCCTAATTGGCTATCTCATTAACAAAGCGAGACTGACCTGGGTTGCCCCGGGAGCCAGGCCAGGGCTGAGCTGTAGACTCTCAAGGATCTGTATTTCAGGACTTACTGTACTTCTTTCCCTTCACCCCACCCTCCAGGCTCCAGCAACTTCTTGTCCAGCTCCTGTCAGCCTAGTTGAGACAGCACCAGAAGACAGCTCCCCCCGGGGGACGCTGGCGAGCAGTGGAGATGGTGAGGTGCCCTCTAGAGGTTGCTGGGCTGAGACGCAGACCAGATGAAGAGAGTGGGAAGAGGGACATGGCCTGGGTCGGAGGGCACTGATGCCTGCCTCCCACTGCCTTGTTTCCTCCAGGGTTTGAAGAAGGCCTGACTGTGGCCACAGTGGTGGAATCAGCCCTGTGTGCTCTGAGAAACTGTGTGGCCTTCATGCCTCCAGGTAAAACAAGGATCCAGTAATGGGAATAACAGAGGGAGGGCTTTGACTGGCTGATCAAGAACAGATCCTCACTCCCTCCCCTCTCACGACAGCGGAACAGAACCCGGCCCCCCTGGCACAACCAGAGCCTCTGGTATGGGTCAGCAAGTGGGTTGACTACTCCAACAAGTTTGGCTTTGGGTATCAACTGTCCAGCCGCCGTATAGCTGTGCTTTTCAATGATGGCACACATATGGCCCTATCGGCCAACAGAAAGTAAGTTCTGTCATGAGTTATTGTACCCATGACACACAGAGCTGCACAGAGATGTAATGCTTCTGGGTTCCAGGGCCTGAAGTAGTCTCTCAGGGTTGGGGTGTCAGTGTATGGCTGCCTCTGACCTGTACCCTTGTCTCCAGGACTGTGCACTACAACCCCACTAGCACAAAACACTTCTCCTTCTCTATGAGTGCTGTTCCTCGCGCCCTGAAGCCTCAGCTGGGTGTCCTGCGGTATTTCGCCACCTACATGGAGCAGCATCTGATGAAGGTATGAGAGCTGGAGTGAATGAAGCACGTGGAGGGCTTATGAATCCTAATCCCTTCCTTTTCCCCTTTGGGGGCTGAGGAGATGTGCTTAAAGCTAGAGGCTGAACCTCTAAGGGAGGCATCACCAGGGAAAGGCTTAATTCATGTCAGGCCAGTGACCGCTTACTGCTCATAGGGTGGAGATCTACCCAGTGTGGAAGAGGTGGAGGTACCTGCTCCCCCACTGCTGCTGCAGTGGGTCAAGACTGATCAAGCCCTCCTCATGCTGTTTAGTGATGGCACCATTCAGGTTAGACCTCGCCCTGGGGTTGGAAGTCTGGGAGGCCCAGGGCCCTGGAGAAGAGCCTGGTTTGGAGCTGACGGCCTTATCACGCTGCCCTCCTATGCACAGGTTAACTTCTATGGGGACCACACCAAGCTGATCCTCAGTGGCTGGGAGCCTCTCCTTGTGACTTTTGTGGCTCGAAATCGCAGTGCTTGTACTTACCTGGCTTCTCACCTGCGGCAGCTGGGCTGCTCTCCGGACCTGCGGCAACGGCTCCGCTATGCTCTTGGCCTGCTCAGGGACCGAAGCCCCGCCTAGGGTCCAGTCTGCAGGACAGCAGACTGACCTAGGCCCTCTGGCCTGAGGCTCGTGCTTATAAGGCCAGGAGCCTTGCTTTGTGGCCCTCCCCCTCCCTTTGGTGCCTCACTGGGGGCTCTGGGCTGAATCCCTCAGGGAATCAGGGACCAGCTTCATTTAGGTTGGTGGCTGCCTAGCCCTCCATGCCACCCACCCCTTCTCCAAGATAAGCCTGAGCCTTAGCCCTCAGCTAGGGGGCGTTATTTATGGACCACTTTTATTTATTGACAGACCTTTATTTATTGGGATGAGAGCCCCAGGGAGGGCTTCTTCCTGGGATAATAAACCATTTTTCAGAACTTGGAGGTTTCCTCACTCACAATACAGCCCATGGACCGTGGCGACTGCGAACAGTGAAGCATTGGTGAAGGCGGCAGAGGCCAGCCCATCACGGGCTGCGTCCCAGAGCGCACGGCTTACCACACGCACATCCTGGCCAGCGCGCGGCCCCAGCACCACGCTGCACACCAGTTTGTAGCGCGGAGGGCTGAATTCGCGAAGGCGAAGGCGCACCTGCTCGCAAAGCTCACGCGCCAGTGGCCCGGCCTCCAAGCCCGAGTAGCACGTACTGTGTAGCCTCGCGGCCAGCGCCTCCTCCAGGGCCCGCTGTGCTCGCGCAGCCTGCCAGCGTTCTCCCGGCGCAGGTTCAGTGCGGTATGAGGGTGCCACCCTGCGCACAGGAGCCAGGGGCAACCCTGAGAAGCTGACACGGGAGTTGAGAGGAGGCACTGGGCCCAGGGATGGTCGCCGACTCCCAGGACCCGCACTCGGGCCCACAAGTGAGTTGCGCCGAGAGAAGGATGTAGCCAGGCCCAGCACAGAGCCACGACGTGAGGTCGGACCTGGACCAGGACCTGTGGGTCGATCCTCACCAATGCTGGGCAGGCGGCCTACTGGCCGCATTGGTGGTAATTTTGGTGCAGGATCTTTGGCCGTCTTCTCCTCCTGGAGTCCTGAAAGCAGAGACCTCCCAGCCATAGACCTGTCAAGTGGAAAATCCACATACCACCTGTTCGCAGACTTGGTGACTTTAAAGATTTTAACATCTCTCTTTGTTAAGGAGCCCTGGTGTCACAGTGGAAAAGGAGTTGGCTGTTAACTGAAAAGTAAGCTGTTCTAAGCCACAAGCTGCTCTGTGGGAGAAAGATGTGGCAATCTGCTTTCATAAAGATTACAGCTCCGAAACCCTGTGGGGGCAGGTTGCATGAGTCAGAATTCACTCTATGCAACGGGTAATAAGTACTCTCTTTCTTAACTGTTTTTGGAACAAACAGATCAAACAGGGCTGTTTGGATTCCTGGGTGCTTAAGATCCTCTTGCTTAGAAGGTGATAAGCAGTGGGAAGGTGTGCTGCTTGGCCTATGATCTCAGCAAGTCCTTCTTTTCCTGAGTTCTGCTTTCCCCCGGGCATGATGGAAGTTAGCTTGGTGGATCCTAAGTACATTTTCTTTCTCTTACCTGGCTTTACCAGCAAAATCTTTGCCATTCTCAAGTTGATTCTGACTAATGGCCCTACAGAGTAGTGCTGCCCTCAGCTTGTTTCCAAGACTGTAAAATCTTTCTCCCAGAGTGGGTAGTGGGTTGGCACTACTGACCTTTCAGTTATCAGCACAACACTTTACTCGCTACACCACCAGGGCTCCTATTGCAGAAGGAAATTTATCTAGCCTGTGTCTCTACCCTGATCAGAAGGAAAGACAGACCCAATTCCTTCTACCGCACAGATCCTTTTGGTTCCAGGATCTTGCCTCCAGTCATCTTCCACCCCTACCTGTTCCTAGGGTGGCTGGCACAGGGTCTCCCCACAACTGGATAAGGCAGGGAGTAGATGACTCAAGCACCTTTTGCCCTCTGCTTTGGCTTCCTCTGGCCCAACCTCCTCCAGAATCAGTCCCGGGATGATTACCCTCTTCTCCTGAAACTCCCTCAGGCACCTGAGTCACCTGCAAGACTTTGGCCTCCAATCTCTCGTCCTGGCTCCACAGCCCTGGCCTGGCTGGCAGGCAGGAAGGGAAGGTCCCTTTGCCTTGTTGTGGCGTTGCCATGGGTTGCCATGTTTACTGGGACAAGAACTCCTCCCTCTCATATTCCTTCCCTCCAGTCCTGGCTCTGGCTTAACTTTCTGAGAATGTTACAACTATGAGCACGGCACGTGCTGAGTGTGGACGCCAATGTTGTCCCTGAGTCATCAGGAAAGAGGACAACAGGAGCTTGGAGCTCAGCGGTGAACTACCAAGATAGAGATGACTGAGGGTCAAGATGAAGGTGAAGGGAATGTCTCAGAGAGGGGGCTCTGGGCAGGAAGCTGTCCCCCTTGCCCAGGGCCTTGAGAGACTGTCCTCTTGCCCCTTGTAGAATGGCTTGAAAACTGGCCATTCTCTCTTGTGAGCAAGTCAAAGAGTCCGAGACCTGGGAAATCTTGAGGCTGCGGGGGTGGCTGCTCTGGAATCCAGGATCTGGGCGCACAGGAAGGAGCGCGTCATTGCTCTAGAGTCTCCACATCAGCATCAACAAGGACAAACATTTCCGCTTTGGGTGCTGAGCTAGGGTGGGGCTTGGATGACTTCCTCAGCCTGGGGCTGCGGGGTGGGGGAGGGGAGGCCCAGCAGCTTGGCTGGTGGGAGCCGGGCCTGACGCAGCAGCATTGACCTAGACTCCAGCCTCCTGACCTTTGCTGACCCGAGTGCCCTGGGGCTTGTCCCTAGCTGGTCACAACTCTTCTGTGCCCAGCGCCCAACAAGGCATTTCAGGGATATCAGAAGCTATGACACTGTCTCAATCAGAACCGACGCCTCCTCACGTGATCTCCTTTTGGGAGTAAAGGGACTGCCCCCTCCCAAACAGACCAGACTTGGGCCCTGAAAACTATCCCATGCAGGCTAAGTTTGAGGGGAGTTTCCCAGGGTTGGGTAACCTGACCTGACTTTGTGTGTTCGGGAAGAGCAGGGAGTTTGAATTCTCTGAACTCGAGGCAGGCAGAGACCTAGGTGCTAGGACTCTGATCTCTACTTAAGGACCCTCTGAGGGCTGAGGTTTTTCCTAGGCTTTAGAGAGATGGGCGGGGCCTCCTCTAGGCCTTGCTCCAGTTTCCATGGAAACACACTGGCTTCCCACCCAGGCTGCTGCCTGGCCTGGCTCGCAGCTGGGGCTTCAACCACTGCCAGCCTTTTCTCTCCAACCACTCGTCTTTCCTGCCTCAGCTTTTCTGGGCCCCTCCCTGTGTCTGTTCCATGCCTGAGCCTATGGCCTCCTCTGCCGGCCTCTGATGTCTTCTTTAGGAAGCTGGGCTTTTCTAGTCTGTGTCTCTAAACTTTAGCTTCTCAGCAAACAGGCCTTCAAGCTCCTGGCCCTCATTCTGAGGCCTTTCCAATCCCTTTGCCAGCCGTGGCCTCCTGTTTCTTCCTACTCTTGCCTGTCATAGACTACAGACAAGAAGCCTCTTAGGCCACTCCCTCTTCTGTTTCCCCCACTTCATCCCACCCATGGAGGCCCCAGGACTGGTGGTGCACGGGGACGCTGCACCCTTTGCCACAGCACTCCGAAGCCTCATCAACAACCCTCGATACAGGTGAGGGGGTGGGTCCTGTGGGCAGCGTTTCCCTAGTTGCTCTCCTGGGCTTCATGGTGGAGTCCTGGCCGAACTCACTGCCTCGGTGAACTCAAATCTATGGGGAAATGAAGTGTTGAGGATGGCTACTGGTCTCTCAGTGTTCCTGAGAGCCAGAGATGGGAGACGGTGGGAACTGGAGCCTGGGACTGCTGTGCAGCCTCAGCAAAGCCTTTCCTCTTGGCCTCTTACTCTGAGCCAGGGGAGAAAAAGCAACTTCTGTTCCCTGATTCCTGAGAAAGGAGATGTGACTTGATTCTCTGCACTGAGCTTGGTGTTGGGGCTTTCCTCCTCAGGGACTTAGAAGAGCAGATGGCTCCACTCTGAGGAGTCATAAAAGGAACAAAACTCAAGTATTTGAGCCAGAGTTCCAGACAGGAAGTAATTCAAGGATGCTGACTGGGGCCTCACAGCTTGTGTCGGATGCTAATGGTGTTGAAACTGGGGGGGAGGCTGATCAGGGGAACGAAAATGCAACTTTCTCACCCCACTGCCTCACAGCTGGGCTTTCCCCCAAAGCCTGAGGCATCCTGTGACCCTGCTTCTGTAGAGATCACAAGTCTGACCTGTATAGTGGGAACCCCAGGTCTTGGACCTGAAGCTAGGAGGCTCCTGGAAGCTTAAGTTTCACCACCCCTACCTTGGAGGCCCAGATGCTGGGGCCGGAAGTGATTGTGGAGATGGAAAATGTGGTCTGACCTCATGACGGTGCATCACGGCTGTGACTGCTGGCAGCCTGTGCACACTCTGCACCCCCTCCTCCCGCCCCCATGTCCTCCTTCCTGGAGGGAGGCCAAAAGAGCTGAGTTTGCAGCCAGCAGAGGAGTCAAAAGGAGCCTTCCTCTCCCCCACCCCTCCCAAGAGTCACACTGGGGAAGAGGGGGTGGGGTGGGATCCATCCCTGCTTCATCACCTCTGCTGACCACTCTTGGTGTGTGTGAGCCCCATGATCAAGTTACTATTTTATTTCATGCATGAGAAACTTAAGACTTCAAAGACAGGAAATTTTTTGTCTGAAGTACCATAAGGAGGAGTTGAGATTAGAATCCAGGTCTGTGTGTTCCAGATCTTCTACTGGGTGACTAAGCTCAGTGTGTACTACGCATGGAAGCGGAGGCTCACAGTGGGCAGAGTCACATCCTAGACTCTTGTCTCTTCTGATTGTCAGTCCCTCTTCCCTACAGTGATGTTCGATTTGTGGTCGGTCAAGAACAGCAGGAGGTATTTGCCCACCGATGCCTCTTGGCCTGCAGATGTAACTTCTTCCAGCGACTTCTGAGTGTGGAGCCAGGCCCCGGGGCGCCTGGCCCTGTGGTGCTGAGCACTGTGCCAACCGAGGCCTTCCTGGCAGTGCTGGAGTTCCTCTACACCAACAGTGTCAAGCTTCACCACCACTCTGTGAGCCCAATGAGCAGGGGCCTAGTGGGAGAGCCTGGGGGTGCAAGAGGTAGGAGGAGGGTGTGCCACTCACACTGCCTGCTGAGCACAGGGGAAACGCCCTTTTGCTCCTCAACCACCCACTCTGCAGGTGCTGGAAGTGCTGACAGCAGCGGTGGAATATGGGCTGGAGGAACTTCGAGAGGTGGGTTATTCTGGTATCAGATTCCTATGTTATTTCTCTTGCTTCTCATGTGCTCATGAGAAGGCAGCTTCACTTGCACCCTGGCCTGGAGAGGGATGTGTGTCAGTGCAGACGTGTTTGAGTTTCTGTGTGAGTAGGGCATGCATGTGGACTTACATACAAAAGGATGGATATGCCCTGTCTCTGCTGAGAAGATACATTAAAAACCCCGTAGCTGTCAAGTTAGAACCAATTCATAGCTGACCCTTCAGTGGACTTTCAGAGGCCATAAATCTCACTGGAAGAGATACCTATCTGTCTCCTGTGAAATAGTTGGTGAACTTGAATCTCCAGCCTTTGGATTGGCAGTGCTGTTCTTTGTCACTAGGCCACCAGAGTTTCCTGAGAAGGTATGCAGTGTGTGTAAGAGTGCTGAGTATGTCCTGGACTGTCAAAAGAACAAACAAATGTCTTGGGAAAAGTGCAACCAGGGTGCTCCTAAAAGGCAAAGGGGGTGGAACTTGAGCTCACATACTTTGTTCATGTTGTTCGGAGCAATCAGTGCTTGGAAAAGTGGAGGTTTCAATGAAAGAGAGGAAGACCCTCAATGAGATGGATTAACATAGTGATTGTAAAAATGGTCACAGGTATACCAGAGATGGATCAAACACAATTTAGCTTTTTATTTTTTTTTGACAGTTTTAGAACTTTATTTGATAATCAGCTATTAGTTTTCACCCACATTGATGATCTATGGATTTTTGAAAGTGATGACAGGTACATAGGTAACCAGTGTATACAGCTTGTTTGAGGAGTCTTCATCTGCACTATGTTTTCTGGACAACCGTACACGGATGCGGTATGGGACATTCCTTATTCCTTTGGCCCAGACAGCTTGGTTAAGTCTAGTGTCAATGCGAACATCTGGTGTTCCCATCTCCTTCATGGCAAATTTCCGGATCTCCTTGAGTGCCCAAGGGCACGCTTCTTAAATCCCACTCCATGGATGCGCTTGTGAATGTTGATGGTGTCCTCTCCGGTCACTACTTTGTTGATGGCAGAGCAGCCTTTCTTCGTCTCACCACCCTTCTTGGCGGGGTCCATAGCACTGGAACTAGGCTGGAAAGTGCACTTTTCCTTTATACTGAGGTCCTTGCACTTTGAAGAGGCCCCCAACAGCACATTTCCCCAGTGCAATATATATTTTGTTTTCTTGACTGTTTGTACCAAAGATGTTGATGGTGGATCTAAATGAAATGAAATTATTGGCAATTTCAATTGTTTTTCTCCATGTATTATGATGTCTCTTGGCCCAGTAGTGAGGATTTGAGTTTTCTTGCTGTTGAGGTATAATCCATATTGAAGGCTGTGATCTTTGATCTTCTGCAGCAAGCACTTCAAATCTTCCTCATTTTCAGCAAGCAAGGTTGTGTCATCTGCATACCACATGAGTCTTCCTCCAATCCTGATGCCACATTCTTCATGAAGCTCAGCTTCTTCTATTATTGTTCAGCACAGAGATTGAATTGTTAGGGACAAAGGACTCAGTTGTGCCAGATCCAAGCCAAGGTCATTTTGATTATGTGCTACACATCTGAAAGTTAGATGATGACTAAGAATGACAGAAGAATCAATGCTTTTGAGTTCAGTGGCCCTGGGTCTTTAACCCCTTATTGATAGGAATTTTTATGTATCAACATCATCTCTTGTTTTAAAAAAAAAATGCTTTTGAGTTGTGGTTTTGGAGCACAGTGTTGACGTGGACTGCCAAAAGAACAAACAAGTCTGTCCCAGAGAAAGTGTGACCAGGGCACTCCTTGGAAGCATGGAGAGTGAAGCTTTTCTTAAACTCTTTGAACATGTTAGGAGAGACCAGTTCTTGGAGAAGGATATCATGCTCGTGAAGAAATCTTCAAAATCCCAACTCTAAGAGAGTTGCAAATCAAAACAACTATGAGATATTATCTCACCCCAGTAAGAATAGCAAAATTCAACAGAGCAGCAAACAACAAATGCTGGTGAGATTGTGGAGAAACTGGGACTCTTATCCACTGTTGGTGGGAGTGTAAAATGATACAACCACTGTGGAAGGTGGTATGGTGCTTTCTCAAAAAGCTGAAAATAGAGATACCATTTGACCCAGCAATTCCACTACTGGGAATATACCCTAAAGAAACCAGAACTGCCACCCAAGCAGATATATGCATACTCATGTTTATTGCTGAGTTGTTCACAGTAGCAAAGAGATAGAAACAACCCAAGAGCCCATCAACAAATGAATGGATAGAGAAGCTGTGGTATATTCACACAATGGAATACTACACTGCATTGAAAAACAAGGAACTCATGAAATATTATATAAAATGAGTGACCCTGGAGGACATTATGCTGAGTGAAATATCTCAGTCATAAGAGGACAAATACTGCCCAATGCCACTGTTATAAAACAGGACTGACATTGGGATTGGGGGGAGAACTAAGAAGAGAGGGAATAAATGTACACTGAATTAAAACAGATGAGGGAGAGAATTGCTCAAATAGAATATATGATTAGGTATTATTTGCATGACAACAGTTCAGAATAAGAGCTGCATAGTAAAGTGGATGGTGGGGAAGGGGATTGTATAACAATGAAAGAATTTTTTTTCAAAGAGAAAAGGGAACGGGGGAGGGGTGGGCAAGGAGGAAAATGTGCAACAATGTATAAATGGAAATCCATGTTCTCTATAAACTTTCATTAAAATCTCAATTAAAAAAAAACAATCAACCAACCAACAAACCATCTCACTCTAGTAGCAGTGACTACTAACATGACAGCAAGTAATAAATGTTGGAGAGGATGTGGAGAGATTGGAACTCTTATGCGCAGTTGGTGGGATTGTAAAATGGTACAACCACTCTGCAAGGCAGTTTGACACCTTCTCAAATAGCTGAACATGGGGGGCCTTAAAAAGAAACAAACTGAACATAGAAATTCCATATAACCCAGCTATTCTACTGCTAGGAATATACCCCAAGAAAATTCGAACTGAGACAGAGATGGAGCTTTGTACACCAGTGTTCACAGCAGCATTATTTACCATTGCAAGAACATGGAAACAGCCCAAATGTCCAACCATATTCGAATGGGTTGAGAAATTGTAGTACATTCACACAATGGAATACTACACAGCACTCAGAAGCAGTGATTTAAAAAAAATTACTACATAACTTGGGAGGGACTGGAGAGCATTTTTCTGAGTGAACTAACTCAGTGTCATCAGGACACATACTACATAAGACCATTATTGTAGAAATAGAAAGATAACTAGTAAAACGTGTATGAGGACCCAAGGTGGGGGAGGGGAAGATGGGTGAAGATGGGAAGGGGGAAATCATAGAGTCACACAATTTTCTGGGTGGAGGAGGGGATAAAGGAAATCGGAAAGATCTGGTGGGGATCTGGAAAGATGGTAATGGTAGACATAGTTTGATGGTGATTAATTTTACAAAACATAAAGAATGGGAATGATTGTATGAAACACAATGTGAATGAAAGAGTGAAAAAATATATACAAACTTTATAAACAAACCAATATAAAATACATTTTTTTAAAAAGTATGTTATTTGACTGTGTGGATCACAACAAACTGTGCTGACTCTGAGAAGAATGAGAATCCCAGAACACTTGATTGTGCTTATGCAAAACTTATACTTGGACCAGGAAGCAGCTGTCAGAACAGAGCAAGGAAACTGCCTGGTTCAAAATTGGAAAGGGTGTGCATCAAGGATGTGTCCTATCTCCGTATCTTTTCAATCTATATGCGGAACAGATTATGTGGGAGGCTGGACTCTAAGAGGAGAAGTGTAGCATCAGGATCATCAACAATCTGTGTTATGCAGATGACACAACTTTGCTTAGTGAAACTGAGGAGGACCTGAAGCACTTGCTGCAGAGGGTCAAGGACTGCAGCCTTCAATATGGCTTGCATCAAGAAAAAGATTCTCACCACTGGGCAGATTGGCAGTATCATGATGGAGGATGAAGAGATTGCGATTCTTGACAGTTTCAGTTTGCTTGGCTCTACAGTCAACACCCTTGATACCAGCAGCCAGGAAATTAAAAGACTAATTGCATTGGAAAACTCTACTGTCAGAGACCTCTCCAAAGTACTGAAGAGCAACGATGTCAGTCTGGAGACTAAGGTGTACCTGATACAGGCCATGGTCTTTGCAATTACTTGCTATGTGTCAGAGAGCTGGACTACGATTAGGATGATAGAAGAGAACTGATACCTTTGAGCTTTGGTGCTGGAGATGAGTATTGAATATACCATGGAGTGCTAGGAGAACAAACAAATTCGTCCTGGAGAGGGTGAAGCCAGGCTGCTCCTTGGAGTCAAGGATCCTGAAGTTTTGTCTGATACACTTCGGACATGTTGCAAGGAGGGACCAGTCCTTGGAGAGGGATGTCATGTTTGGGAGGGTGGAGGGACAGCACAGGAGAGGAAGACCCTCCATGAGATGGATTGATTCAGTCACTGGGGTAATGGAAATAGGCATGTCTGAGATAATAAGATTGGCAAGGGATAGAGCAGGGTTTAGGGTTGTACACAGGGTCACTACGAATCACAAGCGACTCAACAGCACATAACAACAACAAAAACATATCAGAGATGGTAAAGAAGCAGAAGATAGGGCCAGGTTCTCATCCATTGTTCATAGGGTCGCTGTGAGTCATAGTCGATAGCATATGACAGCAACAACCTATTAGAGATGAAGAGGATGGCACAGGACAGGGCAGGGAAGGTACAGATGTGCTGTTCGTTGGGTTACTATGGGTCATAGTCGACTCATCAGAACCTTACAACAAAAACAATACATACTTGCATTGTCAGCATTGAACTTTATCTCTTGCAAGGATTACTGTTGTTGTTAGGTGACTACCTTTTCCTTCCTGTGCCATCCTGCTTATCTCTGATATACTTGAGCCCATTGTCACAGTTACTGTGTCAATCCATCTTGTTGAGGGTCTTCTAGGCACGTGGAAACCTAACCTGGTGATAAGACGTGTGAGAGATGAGGTTACACAGTGCCAAGACTGCACAGACGGTCTCACTGGTCCTGCACACCAGAAAGAATGAGATTTCCAGGAGGAAGAAACATTTATGTTGAATCTGGTAGAAAGAGTAGGAGTTTTGTTCAGAGTGGAGTGGGATGATAGCATTCTGGTTCCAGAGGCAAAAAAGGAGTTAGTGAAATGTTTGTTTAGTGAGATTGGAATAGGAGTATGAGAGGAGAAGATGGAGGCAGGCAACAGTTCATGCAGAACAAAAGTTTGGACTCCTTTTGTCCAGAGAACACTGGTTTGTTTGGTTTTTTTTTTTTAAGGTTCTGAAGAGGAAGTGAAAATTTGAAAGCAAAGGCAAGAAGGGACTGAGAAATGGGAAAGCTTTATAAGGCCGGTCAGGAGTTTGTGCAGCAATCAAAAGATAATGCGAGTGGAATGGAAAGTAAGTGGAGAGGTGAATGGCTTTGAGAAAGAAGGTAGAAATGACATGACCTAGGACATTTTCTATATGTTAGCGTGAAAGATGTCATGAATGAAACTCAAGTTGCTGGCAGGAAAGAAGTGTCTGTCTTTGAGTTGGGAAGGCAGCAAATGGAGTTAAATATATGTCCCGAGGGGGAGAAGGAGGGAGTGGAACAGCTGCTATCTGGCCTGATTAGTGTTCTCCTAGGAGTACTACTGCTTTTGACATTGCTGGTCTCCAGTTGCTCTGGGAAGTTGGGTTTCAGACCCTGATGACTATACCCCTTGCTTGGAAGGTGACAGTGGATCTGGGACTGCTGGGCTTCCAGATGGCTCATTGCTCCAACCCAGCTCGCTGCTTTTGGGGTAGGGCTGGGATCTTGGAGCAAGGACATCTCACACATGCCAAATCTGCTTCTATTTCTAGCTGTGTCTGGAGTTTGTGGTGAAGGTGCTGGACGTGGAACTGGTTTGTGAGGCCCTTCAGGTGGGTATTGCTGGACAGACTCACGGGGAGAAACCTGGGTTTCTTCGTGCTGGGGTCCCTAAGTTCAAGAGTCTGGCTTCCAGCACGTGAAAGAAGGCTTATAAAGTGTCAGGAGCCTGCAGCTCCTCTTTGATTTGACACAACCTGGGTACATAGAGCCGTGGATACCTCTAGGAAATGTATGGTGTGAACTCTGTGCCCAGACCTGTGGAGGCCTAAGGGGTTCATCACAGCCTCAGGTACACAGCAGTGGAAGAGAATGACGGTCTTTGCTGGCCTTTTCTCTCTGGGATGTGTTTCTCAGTTGGACTTGCAGGGGGTGTGAGTGGAGTTTGGAAGCCAAGCCTAGGCCCAGGGTGGGTCTGAAGGAGGAGGCCTGGCTTCTTAAAGTGAAGGGGAGGTTATTGGATAAGTGCATCTGTCTTCACTGAGTCTGAGATGTCACAGATAGCCTCCTAGGCACCAGGACTAGCCTCCAGTGTGGAAGGCAGAGCTACATGGCCTCTCCAGACTTTTAACATGACCTCCCTCTTTCTACTCTCAGGTGGCTGTAACATTTGGCCTGGGACCGCTGCAGGAACATTGCATGACGTTTATAGAGGCCCATAGCCAGGTACTGTTCTTCTCTGCATATTCGCAGCACCATATCCCCATTTCTCCTCCCTGACCCATATGCTGGCCTGCAGGAGGTGCTTGGGACGCGCGGCTTCTTGGAGCTGTCAGCGGCTGCTCTGCTGCCCCTGCTGCGCAGCGACAAACTCTGTGTGGATGAAGCTGAATTAATCACGGCTGTTTGGAGCTGGGCACGTGTGGGTGCTGTGAGTCGGGGGAGGTGGGTGTTGGGACTGAAGGAAGCAGGTGAAGGGACGGAGTTAGGGGGCGAGGCGAGGGGGCTGATGTCCCTACCCTGCCTGGGCTCAGGGCTGGTGTTCACAGGCGGTGTTGGAGCAGCCAGTGGCCGCGGTGGCCGCCCCCGTGGTGCAGGAGCTGAGACTGGCTTTGCTGGCCCCAGCCGAGCTGAGTGCCCTGGAAGAGCGGAACCTGCAGGAGCCCCTCATCCCGGTGAGGAGTCGAGGAAACAGGCTCAGATCCATCCACTCAGAAGCATGCGGGAAGGGCGTAGGGGGCACTGTGGGGCGAGGATTGGTGGCAGGCACCTCAGTGACCGCCTTCTCCCAGCAGGTGGAGCAGATTGTGGAGGCGTGGAAGTGTCACGCCCTGCGGAGGGGGCACGCCGTCCACAGCGCCTCGTGCCGCTGCCGGAGGGGCACCCGGCCCCGCGAGCATCACCGCTTTCTGGATTTGCCCTTCAAATGACACACTGACATCCTGTGTGAGCCATCGAATCCTGGGCCTAGTTGATGGACCTGTCTAAAACTACAACTCCCGACATGTTTACTTCCAGGCATCAGCATACCTCGGAGGGAGACGCCGAAAGGACAGCGCATGCTGTTGCAGTTTGGGACTCAAGAAGTGTGTGGGTGGCTGTGAAGGAGAGGTTTTCTGTTGATCCTGGCCATCCTCGCAGGGAAGGAAAGGGGTTTTGGCACCAGTCCACTCCTCTCTCTACGCCCCTTTCCTGAACACTTTCATCAGCGTCCTCTACTCTGGGGATACCCAGATACCTTTTACCTCTTTACTTCCAGATAGGCCTCTTTGAATGATAAGCATTCGCCTCAGGCTTAGTCTAAAACAGCTCTCATCTTTCTTCACTTCTGTCCCTATCGTGTTTCTCATCTTTGGAAGAGCCCCATATAGAAACTTAGATCTCATCCTTGCTGTCTTTACAACCGGGTTTCCGTCACTTTTACCTTCTAAGCGATCTTGCCAGTTGGTTTAGACCTACCTGTTGCGACAGACTCTTAATTATAATCTTCCTTTTCTCATTTCACTAACCCCTCCCCAATTCGGTTCCCCACACTGTTACCGAATGAAAGAGGTTCTTTCATAGTCAATTGCCAATAAGAAGACAACGGTAATATCCATAAGCACTTTATTGCAGATCTGGGGAGACAGTGAGACTCCCCTCAAATGCTGCCTCTCTGGCAATAATCGTTAGTTTTTATACTTGAGTTAGATACTAATTGACAATACACTTTTGTTAGTAAAGTTACAGAATTTCTACCTTTGAAAAGAACAGTTCATATATAGTTACTAGTAAACAGGTAATTTATAAAACAGTTAACATACAACTGAGAAACACATGTTTGAAAAGCCTAGCCAGGGGGAGCTCTGGTGGCCTAGTGGCAAGAAGCTGCACTGCAATCCCAGAGGAACACGGTTCGAATCCACCAGATGCTCTGCCAGAGAAGGAGGCGCAATATCCTCCTGTACCAGTCAGATCTGATTTGACGGTACATGCACACAAAATAATAAAAAATTTAAAAAAAAAAAAAAAAAGAAAAGCCTAGCCAGGAAAGGGGCATTTCCCTTCCTGGGAAACGGGCAGTTTAAAATACAATTTACATGACTAAAGAAAGTAGTAGTAGGGAATTTTAAGGCAAAGTAGCCAGGTTTTGGGCCTGGAGAAAACTGATGTCAGTTATAGTTTATAGTTATAGTTTATAATTAATATATTTGGATAATTCTGAATGTATCAATATCACCCCACCAACACTGCATTCAGACTTCTCCAATTCAGATCTGGTGATATTACTCCTGTTCCTCTTAATAAACTTTGCAGTATCCTCATTGCCTTTGGTACGGAAGTTGACCTACTTCACTTTCAGAGCACTCAAAACTATTAATATTGCCAAACTAGCAACTTCTCTCAACCTCAACTTTTGCATAAATTCACTTCCTGGAGACACTAGTCCTTTAGCCTTTCTTTGTCTCAGTTTCCTTATTGATAAAAAGGAGAGAATAAAACCACCTCACTAGAGGTAAGGAGATGTGCTGCTAACTTGAAGGCATGCAGTTCAAATCCATTAGCTGCTCCACAGGAGAAAGATGGGCAATATCTTCACCTATGATTTACTGCCTCTGAAAACCTACTGGAGAGTCAGCTATGAGTTGGTTCTGACTCCATGGCACATAATGGTGACAAAGTAAGGCACTGGGAAAATATGATGCAAAAGACCTCTTGAAAGTGTTAAAAAATAAAGATATCAGTTTGAAGACTAAGGTGTGCCTGACCCAAGCCATGATATTTACAATCACCTTATATACATGTGAAAACTAACAATGAATAAGGAAGACTGAATAATTGATGTATTGATTTATGGTGTTTGTAAAGAATACTGACTCTATTGTGGAATTCCAGAGAAATAAACAAATAGATCTTACAGAAGTACAGCCAGAATGCTCCTGAAGGTGAGGATGTTAAGACTGGAAGCCCTTTTAGACTGGATTGACACAATGAGTCCAGCAAGGAGCTCAAACATAGCAGCAGGTATTAAGATGGTGCAGGATCAGATGATGTTTTGTTTGGTTTTAATACACAGTTGCTGTGAGTTTAAACTAGCTGGATAGCACATAACAGTAGAAAGATAAAATTTTGTTTGCAATGTGCTAGAATTTCAGTGGTGCAGTTTAAATGCTGTATATGTATTTGAAAATAATTTCAACATATTAATTTGTTTCATAAATATCCACTGAGTTGTCATGTGCTAATAGACATTGGTATGTTGTTGTTATGTGTCATTGTGATGGAACTGACTCACTCATACTGACCCTCCAGCAGGGTTTAAGAGGCAGTAAATCACATGGGAGTTGACTGCCCATCTTTCTCCCATGGAACAGCTGGTAGATTTGAGTCATGTGCCTTTGGATACCTATGCAGTTCCTTACCAGTAGGCCACCAGAGATTCAATGAGTCTCTGATCCAATAAATCAGAGAACAAATTGGGTAAAGTCCCAACCTCATGAAGTTGGGGGATCATACCATTAAGCTAAAGGTAGATGGTTCAAATCTACCAGCTGCTCCATGGGGGGAAAGATAAGCAGTCTCCCCTTGTGCCTCTGAAAACTCAGTCAGCTATGTGTTAGTTCTTTATTCTTTTTTTTTTTTAAATAGCAAAGCCATCACTGGGGTGGAGCAACAAACACCCCTCAGCATAGATTCTCCTCATGCCAGTCAGGTCCATGTTGGCCTGTCTGTAAGGTCTTAAACTTATGAGCTAACCTTTCTGTCAATGTCTGGTGCAAGGAAGGCTAGGGAGAGATCTTTCTCATCAAGCCTTTGCCAGCTCCTATGGAATATATGTGGTAGAGTCAGGCCCACTTGAAAACTTAACAAATGTGCCAAAAAGACAACTACCACATATGTGTCAGTTCTTACTTGAAGCAATGAATGATGAGAGTGCAAAGAACATACAATGAAAAAGAAATATATAACTTGATGCCAACTAACAGCAACATAATTTAAGGAAGTACTTTGTGCTAAGAAAAAGAAAGTGAGAGAGGGGAAAGAAAGTGACTTAAAAGGATAAATGTGTGGTGAGAATGGAACTGTGTTGATACAGGGTGGTTGTGTGAAGACCTCTAATGAGAACATTTGACTAGAGACCTGAAATAATGGGGGTAAGAAAGTGGTTTATTGTATGCATCAATGAATGCTTTTTTGTGGGGTGGGTAGGGAAGAAAATGTGTAACAATGAATGACTGATCCTTGGAGAAGGACATCATGCTCGGGACAGTGCAGGAGAGGAAGACCCCAGATGAGATGGATTGACACAGTAACTGGGACAATGGGTATTGGTGTACTGGAATTAGTGAGACTGGCTCACGACAGGGCAGGCTTCAGAGCTACTGTTCATAGGATCACTATGGGTTGCAGGCAACTCAATGGCACATAACAGCCACCTGATGGACTACGGAAGAATCAGAATAATAACATCTCTAGAAAGTATCATTGGCAGAGCTCAATATCAGAAGTCAAAACCAGGGCAGGTGTTGACTGTGGAATATATCATTAATTACTCATCGTCAAGTCCAAATAGAAGCTGAAGAAAATTAAAACAAGTCCACAAGAACCAAAACAGAACTTTGAGTCTATCTCATCTGAATTTCAAAACCATCTCAATAATAGGTTTGCAGCATTAAACACTAATGATGGAAGACCAGATGAGCTGTGGGATGGCATCAAGGACTTCATCCATAAAGAAAGCAAGTCAGAGGAGAAAAAAAGACAGAAGAGGACGTCAGAATAGACTCTGAAAATTGCACTAGAACATCAATAGGCCAAAACAAAAGGAGGAAATGCTTAAGTAAAAGAAATGAACAGAAGATTTTAAAAGGTAGTTCAAGAAGGCAAAATACCACAGAGAAAAGAGTGAACAGGTGATGAAAAAGGTCTCATAACAATAGCCACATAGTACATGTTGGTTTTTTCTTTTATACTGATTTATTTACAAAGTTCAAATACATTGTTTTTCATACACGCTCTTTCCTTCACCACCCTCCCACTCATCAGATTACATGTTTTACTACTAAACTAAAGGTCAAAAGTTGAAATCCACCAGCTACTCTGAGGGAGAAAGATATATAAATTGGAAGCCAAATGCAGGGAGGCTATGAGTCAGAATTGACTGAAGGGCAGTGGGTATAGCCTATGAGGCAGCAGGTATAAACAAGAAGACAGGAAAGTTCTTAGTTCATACAGGTACTTGTTGGGGGAGGGGTGGAGAAGAAGAGAAAAAAAAGGTCAATGTAGAACAAACTCATTAACTGGGGGGAGGGGGTAAAGAAAAAAGTGCAACAATGAATGAATGAAAAGCCAAGATCTCTGTAAATGTTCATGAAAATTAATAAAATATTTTTTTTAAAAAGAAAAAGTTAAAAGGAAAAAAAAGAACAAACTCATTGCTGTCAGAACAAACTCATAGTTGACCCTCTGGTGTGTTTTCAGAGGGTGTAAATTCATTTAGGAGGAGATTGCCCATCTTTTTGCTATTGAGACACTGATGGAATTGAACTGGCAAAGAGGTGCCACCTTTAGGTTTGCCCAACAACTCCTAACAGACTAGGCCACCAGAATTCCCTGCTACTGTTGTTGCTCAGCACCTTGGGCTATGAGACTATGACTCATGTTGTCAGGTTTAATCAAGCTGATTATGATCCATAGCGACCCCATGAATGGCAGACAGATCTGAACCCTGTCCTATCCTGTGCCATCCTCACCATTTCTGACATCCTTGAGCCCACTGCTGCAGTCACTGTGTCAATCCCTCTGGTTGAGGGTCTTCCTCTCTTTTGATGCCCCTCCACCTTTCCAAGCCTGATGTCCCTCTCCAAGGAATAACCTCTCCTAGCAACATGCCCAAAGTATGTGAGATGAATCTTCATCATCTTTGCCTCCAAGGAGCACTCTGACATCA